AAATTGCGTCCACAAGTAGGCCAAAAGACCAACCAGTTATGTACTGTTGAGGTAGGTGGCATGCGGGTACGGAGAAGTGTTATGTACTAACGGGGTTTATGTACAAACGAATTATGTACTAACTGACAAAATTTGTATGGAAGTGACCATGTTTCGTCCGGGACTTGAGATTTCTTATGTACTAACGGGGTTTATGTACTAACCGGACTCGTATTAACGGGGGACGACCTGTATCAGGTCCTTGAATGTGTCAATTTCCTTGTCAGTTTCGTGCCTTGTTGTCTTCCTAGACTTTTAGTCATAGCTCGTAACTTATTGGTCTATTCTCTTTAGTGAAAAAAACTATTGGCTAAACTTCCGAGTCACAACGTAGGTTTTTTTGTTCATTTGAAGTAGATGAAACAGGTTTTGTGTGGTCATGCCTGAAATATTGTTATGTTTTTACCGTGGATGATGATTGCAAATATTGCATGAAATTCAGAGTAGCAAAACGATACGAGTGACCCATTGTTTGCTGCCACGTCTTTGCCTGTATTTCACCCATAACTCAACTCCGGTTGTATGCTTTTTTGTCAACTTATCCTCTTCCTGTGTTTTCAGATGAGAGGCTTACTGGCTCTCTGCTTTGTGGCAGCACTGATCATTTCGTGCGATGGAGTAGTCTTGCCAGGTTAGCACCTTGCATTGTGCAGTTAGCGGGTGTTAGCGGCCGTCGTGAGTTCCCTTTGGGAACGGACACGATAATTAACTTTTTTTATTACTTTTTATTGTGCAGTTTCGTGTATCACCCATGCAGTGAGTCTGTATTTATCCCACTGAATTTCTGCGATGTCAAAAAACATATCCTGTAATCACACAAACACACAGACACGCAACTAGCGAGCTCTTCTGAATGGCAATGTCAAGTGATTTTATTCTACACAGTACAGTACTGCGAAATTTGAAATTTGAAAAAGGATCCAAAAAAGGTAACTTCCTCAACTGGGGTTCTAAACGCACAATACACTGTTGCAAGCGGAGGCAAACTGCCTGAAATTTCATGGTTTTCGCCAATTCAGTGCTTTTGGGGAAAAACCAGAGTTCAGAGACATCGGAAGTAGAGCCATGAAACTTGGCCGACAATTAGTCATCAGTACAGAAATATGCTTGTCATACCGCAAAATCCCGTGTATAGGCCCCGGGCGTATAGAATAGCAGCCTTGATTTCCTAGGCATATACAAGGGCACGGGCGCTATTTTGGAACCGGGCGTATACTTGGAAAAGGGATAGCAGTAAGTATTGGGTATCAGTACCTGTACATGTACTGGTGTTGCCAGCATGCCTGGGTGTAAACATGGGCATGGGCGCTATTTTGAAACAAAAGTGTTGACTTCCCCTGACCGCGAGTGTACACAGAGGGTTGGCGTAATTTCGAGTGGGCGTATACAGGGGCTTTTACAATACTTCAAGGAAATCCATAAATCTTTTTAAAATTTTCTTGATAGCAATATTATGTGAGTACCCCCAAGTGGAAGAGAGCGCTGTACCAGCTTCATTTCGATAATAAGAATGTTTTTTTGATAATTCGGAGCCGGGACATGGAAATATGGAGTTCGAAGTCAAAGGCTTGCACACACACGTCTCTATTTCATAAGTCTTGGGACATCGGCTGCATGTTCTGACAAAATGATTATGATCTAAAGAGGAAGATTGTGGGATAATCTGCCTGTCTCCTCCGCTCTGTCTTGCCAAATGCCAAGATAGAAGACATGTTATTATTACCGTATATCCGCGCATATCAAGCCTTGGCATAATGAAACATCGCTGTTTTGGACTAAATTTTTGGAGAAAATAGCCTCGGTTTTAACGCCATGGCGCTAAGGCGGTTCCACCCGGGTTGAGTTCGACCCGGGTCAGATTTCAACCCACCATGCACACAAAACGAATGGCGCGTTTACATGACGCATTGCGCTTGACCCGGGTTGAAATTTCGCCCCGGGTTGATTTCAACCCTCCACTTGGGGGGGGGGGGGGGGGGAATCAACCCGGGTCAAAGATATCGTACTATGTACTTCTGTGCATATCTTGCGCCAGGTTTGAACAGCACTGCACATGCAAAAATAGAGCGAAAGGATTCACGTGACTGTTGAGTTCGAAACAGGACGACTGACGACACATTATCCAGGCATTACAACGGGAACAGGTAGATTGGGGAAACGACATTTATTATAGACGACGAGACAAGAGACCAAGACGAACGAAACGACTACATTGAAGAGTGAGAAAAGAGAGAGCGAGAGATCAAGTCTGAACGGCAAGATAAAGGGCCTGGGTAGCTATGGCAAATATGGGCGCGCAAGTAGCTACCCAGGCCAACGGAACAAAAGGAGACAAAAGGTGAGTACGTAAGTGCATGCAGGCCAGCTAGAAAAGGTACGGGAGGAGGTACCTAACATACCACCCCTCCATGAAAAAAAATCCCGCGTCCTCGCGGAGAGAAAAAAAAGAGAGAGAAAAAGATTTAAAAAAAATGAACTGGAGGAGAAAACACACACACACACATACTGCACGCGCGCATGGATCTCACGAAAGTGTGTACTAAAATGCACTCGTACAGATCATTCCTGTACTACTTATTGTGTGAAATAACTATTGGAGTTTGACGAGGAACGTGAATTACTAGTATTTTGCACGGCTAATACAGCCTAGTTACACTTTTGCTAAACATCCAAAAATTAGAGCGTGGCTCACCATGATCGGACCCCTAACTTGGTAATGTTTTACGAACACACGCGCGCGCACACACACTACAAAAAAATCACGAAAATAAATTTGACGAAGAAGCATACAAAAAAAAGAAAGAGAGAAAGGTAGCTGACCTGCATGGCTTGAACGAGAATAGACGAGGTAAGGTTGGCGTAGGAGAGACGAGGTTGATAGAGACGAGACGAGGTTGGCATAGGAGAGACGAGACTGACATGGACGAGACGAGGTTGATATAGACGAGACGAATGGTGGTTGAGGACGGCTGGGCATGGGATGATCTCAGGGTCGTGGGTCGATCAATAATCGGGCGCCAATGTTGAGTTCGAAACAGGACGACTGACGACACATTATCCAGACATTACAACGGGAACAGGTAGATTGGGGAAACGACATTTATTATAGACGACGAGACAAGAGACCAAGATGAACGAAACGACTACATTGAAGAGTGAGAAAAGAGAGAGCGAGAGATCAAGTCTGAACGGCAAGATAAAGGGCCTGGGTAGCTATGGCAAATATGGGCGCGCAAGTAGCTACCCAGGCCAACGGAACAAAAGGAGACAAAAGGTGAGTACGTAAGTGCATGCAGGCCAGCTAGAAAAGGTACGGGAGGAGGTACCTAACATGACCATACAGGACTCTAGAAGTGGAATTTTGGCGGCATATCAGTATTTGATCCGAGTCAACTGTCTTCATATAAACGCTCACCTATTTTGTCTATCGTACAGACTTTCAACCCGGGCTGAACTTGACCCGGGTTGAAATTTCTCATGTAAACACAGCCTTACATGAAAAAAACGGCAGAGTATGAACTTCGAGTACTCGTATGGTGCCGTTGCACGTTCATGTCGAGCATCCATATACTTTCAATTTTCCCTGCAAATTTCAAATTATGAACCTATTGTGTACAAGGTGGCATACAAACTTGTGTGAAGGTGCGTCGGCTGTATGGCATGTGACAGTGGAGATGGGTACATGAAGACAGAATCACCGCTACTGTAGGTTCACTGAAAGAATTGAACTCACCTTTAACGCTGGATGCTACTTCGACCACCTTGAATTTTGTTCACTTATAACGCCATGGCTTTATAAGTGAGGGTGGCCTTATATTCGGATATAACGCCATGGCTTTATATGTGCGGAAATACGGTAAAATTACGGCAGACTGCCCACTTCGAGTTCTCGTGCGAATGCTGGCTAGCATTGTCGTTCAAGGGAATGGCAACTGCACACTACCACATCCGAATAAACCGAAATAGACGGGAAGATCTAAGTTGCGTTACCTATGGGCAAAAAGATAATTGCCGTTTGAAATTGCCCTCCTGTTTTGTCCACTGCGATATTTAAAGCTGATCGGCATTTCGCACAAATTATTGCCACCTTTCTAGGTCATTCAGCTGCCATTATTTTTGCCACTATAAGCATGGGATAATATAGTTTGGTCTTTGTATGCCCTCGCATGTACAGTCCATTTCAAAACTATAGACACGTAGTGTTTTGAAATATTTCAAATTTGGCTGGAACTTTTTTAGAATAGTTTTTGAAATATTGCTCAGGTCAGCTCAACAATTACTCTCATTATAGTTTCTAAACGATTGAATAGCAGACGCCCAATTTGGAAAAAAAATATGCACAAAGCGATCACAGGTTTTATGTCGTATAGATGCTGGCATAACGGTTTTTGCCTAGGTACGCGTCTATAGTTTTGAAATGGACTGTTACTGTCTGTACGTGCTGGGATGATGTATAGTTGATATTTTAACACTGTCGGCATAGCGATAAGGTTTCTCAGAACATGGTCTGTCTGTATTATTAATTTATGAGTTGGGTATGTGAACATAGTAAAAAAAAAAAAAAGCATCACAACACCTTGTGCAATGATGTTCTGTGCCGTTTTATGGCTCCCAGCAAACCCAGCAGCTCAAGTACTCGTGTGTTGCAAGATGAACTATAGAGATGCTAAGCATTTTAGAACACTAATAACCTTACATCTGTTTCTATATGTGCTTCTACCCAGATGCATCACTGACTGGGTACAGCTACTGTCCTGAAGTTGGTGCAGTCCTGCAGCGGACACACGATCACAGGCTTTTCAACTTTACAGATGGCCATGACATATGCAGGCTACACAATGGCATATTACTAAGTGCAAAAGCATACAAGTCGGGATGCACATCAACATTGCTCGGTGATACCCGCTTTGCCTGGATCAACCAGTTTGAAGATGGAAAAAACAACGAGATTGCATTTGCAACCGGAACACTAGCCCACCCTGTTGCCACCCGTTTCGTGAACGCCTCAATATACGTCGCTTGCGAAATACGTAAGGGAAGCCCAGTGCCAATAGCAATTGGTTTTGCTCTGTTTTAACCCTTTGCTGAGCTATTCTAGATACAGTAACCCTGGTGTAACCGACCATCCCATGCTGCAAGCAACAGCCAGACCACCCAACGCTGCAAGCAACAGCCAGACCACCCCACGCTGCAAGCAACAGCCAGACCACCCCACGCTGCAAGCAACAGCCAGACCACCCCAGGCTGTAAGCAACAGCCAGACCACCCCAGGCTGCAAGCAACAGCCAGACCGCCCCACGCTGCAAGCAACAGCCAGACCACCCCACGCTGCAAGCTACAGCCAGACCACCCCACGATGCAAGCAACAGCCAGACCACCCCACGCTGCAAGCAACAGCCGGTCCACCCCACGCTGCAAGCAACAGCCAGACCACCCCACGCTGCAAGCAACAGCCAGACCACCCCACGCTGCAAGCAACAGCCAGACCACCCCACGCTGCAAGCAATAGCCAGACCACCCCACGCTGCAAGCAACAGCCAGACCACCCCACGCTGCAAGCAACAGCCAGACCACCCCACGCTGCAAGCTACAGCCAGACCACCCCACGATGCAAGCAACAGCCAGACCACCCCACGCTGCAAGCAACAGCCGGACCACCCCACGCTGCAAGCAACAGCCAGACCACCCCACGCTGCAAGCAACAGCCAGACCACCCCACGCTGCAAGCAACAGCCAGACCACCCCACGCTGCAAGCAATAGCCAGACCACCCCACGCTGCAAGCAACAGCCAGACCACCCCACGCTGCAAGCGACAGCCAGACCACCCCACGCTGCAAGCGACAGCCAGACCACCCCACGCTGCAAGCAACAGCCAGACCACCCCACGCTGCAAGCAACAGCCAGACCACCCCACGCTGCAAGCAACAGCCAGACCACCCCACGCTGCAAGCAACAGCCAGGTCACATCGGATTAGACATAAATGTGCATGACTGAACTTCCATGTATTCGTACTGACAGGTGTGGAGCATAGAATACTCTCGTGCAGGCAGAGAACACCTCACTCAAGTGCATGCAGTGCATCCTGCACTGCCACATGTCACTTCAGTCGACTGCATACACTTGCTTCAGAACACACTTCAACCCTGTTGCAATCAACTCTGCCTGCCGAGAGTGCATTTTTGGTTAGTTTTGGTCGCTGTGTGCAGGTGCAGTATGGCACTTGGTACACTAAAAGTCGGTTGCTGTGCAAGACAGGTGATCACTGTGTCCGGTGCAGTTTCTGTGTAGAACTGTCCGTGCATGGAAAACGGTCGTTAAAAGCAGGTGGTCGCTAAAACCAGCGGTCGCTTACACTAGGTTGTACTGTATAACCAAGTTCATGTAAAAAAAACATCAAATACCATAAAATCCCGCCAGAGCGCCCCTACCTCCTCGACGCTTCAGGTGGGGAGGGGCGGATGGGCGAGTCCTACTCACTGTACTTGCCGCATTCAGTGCTACATGAAAAAGTACTCACCCTACGAAAACTGTTCCTGCGTCTCGTACACCGACCAAAGGTCAAGAGCCAGGAGTCAAACAGCCCCACAAAACGCAGGGTTTGTGCGATCCCAGGTCAGGAGGGTGGGCACTGTTGCGTACATTTCCAACGGGGTCGAGCACGCGTCTGTAGTGCAGTACGGCATCACAGACTGCGACAGAGTCATACGAGGATACAATCAATCACGTCCCTGACAAGAAGTCAGGGAGGGGCGGATGGGAGAGATGGGGCGCTCTGGCGGGATTTTACGGTAGTATCTCTTCCTGACTCGCTGCTGCTTTCTACATCGCAATGGTACTCAACGTTGTCCCTATTTCCTACTCCGCAAGCACACTTACCAAAGCAACACAATATGATGAGAACCCAGGGTATGATAGGAAATCACGCAGGTCTGTAACATAATGTCCCTTGAGAGCTGTGCGAGTTGTACACTTAAAAGAGCAATTGGTTTAGATCCGGCTTTCAGCCACCGCCAGCTCGCTGAGCAGGTACACATTAATCTAGGCTGTCATCACATGCATACCAGCATACACTGCATCTACATCCTTGAAATTCCTGTTTGATTGTTTGCCATGATGACGAGGTACGAGTGTACAAGGTGAAAACGGGAGCAGAGGAAACAGGATTACAGCCAGTAACATGTCGATCCTCAGTGATTTGTTTCTTGGATTTGTTCATTCTTTCCTACCCATTTCATCACCCTTCGTTTCGGACCAACACCTGAATTTTTTTTTAAATTTGGATTCTCTGGTGTGCAACAAACAGCCGGGTTCAAGGGCTTTTAATTTTCAGATGCCTTGGTCCCATGCCCAAAACGAGGTGTTAAACCTCTGAGAGAAAACTCTGACTATAGTGTGGCATGTCGGCCATGTCGGAAGACGAACAGTTCGACTGGTAAAAACAAAATTAGCCTAAAACACTTGGATTACATCAAGAGTAGATAAACAAGAGTGTGCAATTCCAAGATGGGTTGGCCCACGTCGACACTTTTTGTTGACGTCATATTTTCTATGACGCAAGCGCTGCCAGTCTTTTGGAAAGTTTTGCCTCGTCCACTTGACCGGGCTTCACATTGCAAGGTCGGTGCCCAGCACGTGCTCTCACACTGCTCTGTGGCAAAATGTTCGTTTTTCTGGAAAAAAGGTAATGTCAACAAAAAATTCCGCAGTGGCCCAGGTATCTGCAGATTGTGAATGCGAGATCCGGAGTTGCACACTCTTGTTTATCTACTCCTGACTACATGCATCAAAGGAACTAAGAGCCATCTCTCTTCTGCTTGTTTCACTGGGCAAAAGGTTTGCGTGGCGTATGGATTCCGTCAGGGGCCATGATGGCTGATTGGGCTTAAGCAAGGGCTTTGTCTCCCCTTTCTTGTTCTCCAACTTCAAGAGGCATTGTATGTAAAACCAGGCGCGGGTTCGTGACCAATAAATCTTTAAAATAGTTTGCAGGCAATTTGCCTACACTCAAAAGGGCACAGCATTACACGCAAATCCATTAGAAGTATTGTTTCAACGTCTCGGTCTTCATGAGCATCATCAAGATTTTGAATTAAACCCTATTTCTCTCAAATGTCATCTGCCCAATCTGTTGATTCGGTTTCCACTTGTCTACTTGTGCTTGAAGCTTGTCAACGTATCACCACGACTGGAGATGGAGATAGAATAATTAATATATCAGAGAGCGGTAGCGTTACATGCCACCCTGGTTATGAATACCTTAATGCACAACCCGTGTGTAATAGTGGAAGTACACAAATTCCTCCCTGCACACGTAAGTGTACACTTGTCCACATGTACGTATACCTGAAACAAACAATAATAGTTAAAAGTATTAGAGCCTACACGCTCTCTTCCATTAACACTGCAATAGTTCCACTCATTTCACAATAATTATTACTACGTTTCGGCAAATTGCCTTCATCAGGTTCACAATAATATTTTGAAATGAGTTGAACTATTGCAAGTGTTAATGTATGAGAGCGTGTGGGCTCTACTACTTAACTGTTTATGAAACTGCAGGAAGCCTCCCCACTTTTACTTAAACAATAAGAGGACAGAGAAAGCGTGTTAACTCTGAGTTTCACGCGCTAAGCGATCATCAGAAAACGTTAATGAGTAAATCTGGAGCTGAAGCACAGCGTAAATCGAAAAGTTGTGAATGGCGGCAGTGCAAAGCATAAATGAATGCATCATGGGGCACATCGAAAAGTGCGAATGACAGCAGTGGTGAAAGGTGACAACCACTGGAGCTGGTTGTCTCCTACTTATTCCCCCGACCGAGGCAAACATTTGATCACTGTTATGATCTGTGCTCAGGGACATTAAAGAGTGAAAGAGCTGATGTTGGGTACGCTGGGAAATTACAGCAACAAAATAATCACGTGAACTGTCATTGGTGAGTTTCGCTATGGTAACAATGGCGGCTCTTGCAGTAAGCTAGCTCAGTTGTCATCACTACCAAGTTGTCCTGGGCAAGTCATTCTTAGGAAGCGAAGGTTGTACGAACAACTGGGATACCTCAGTTAGTGAAGAGACATAATATGATATCAAATTAACATCAAAACTGTATACAAGTGGTGTATTGGTCCTCTATTCAAAAAAATATGTTCCTGTAGGGTCAGGTAACCGTTGAATGTATCTGCACCTAGTACATGCCTCATGCTCATGAGCCTGTCTGCTGAGCAGTCACAGCTACTGTGATTGCACTCCGCGTGTGCAGATATGTTTTAATGGAAGTGAAGGGCTTGGAGAGCACCAGTACAGAGCCTGGTGTGGATGCAATATCAGCCCCTGGAACTTGGCCATATGCCGTTAGCTGTGCGATAGTCAGTGAAGCCAATCATGTACTTGGACAAGCTAGTGTCTGAGTACACCCCAAGGACTATAAAATCCCTCCTTGTTAGCCGGCTGAGTGATGGCAATGGCTAACAGGATCAGACACATACCAACGCTCATACTTGCATCCTACACAGAAATGCCCTTCCAACATTTGCCTAACGGCGATGTGGTGTACCGCATTTTTTGGTCACTTACGGTGCTGCGATTGATCGAAAATTTCTTCAGACTGGTTATCAGTGGTTGTGGATCAATTTGGAGCACAAAATATTTTTTGAAATTTTTGCACATGTGATGGTTTTTACTGATCCAGGCTCATATATAATTATATATGAGGATTGAAGTGACTGCCATTATAATGGCAGGCTATAAGGAGAAGATGGGTAATAAAGGATTGGCTGATGGGTCCAATACACACTGGTTTTGCTCAGTTTTTAGCACTTAGCTGTTCTGGCTACGAGTTGGATCCTAGCATAATATCGAAAACACAGTGCTCAAATGTCACATGTGTCATATAATTATGTCATCTCTTGTCAAGTTTTGTCACCTGATTCCACGAGAATATCATATGGGCCTCAACCAGCGAAAACAGCCCTTAGGGTCAAATTTTTCAAAATTCCTTTTTGGTAAGAAATTTGTTGAAACACATCTACTGAAGGACCTCAGCCAAGAAAAAGTTCAATATTCCGATTCAAAACGGGTGTATACACCAATATACAAGATGTCCTCCAAATTGGTGCAATGTATGTATACGATGTATGTGTACAATAAATATTCAGCATTTTTAGGTGGGTAGGCAGCTTGAATACCTTTGAAATAGCACAGTAAGCAACTAGAATGACAAAGAATAGCGGAAGAGTGCGGAGACATGATCGACTTATTTGCAGCTGCATCCTGCGTGGAGTCGTTCCGCAATGTCTTCCATTTCTTCCTGTGCAGCTGACGACCCGACGTCGCTGCCGTCACTAGCCCTAGACTCAGAATTTATCTCAGGTGATGACTCCTCATCTTCCGACTCTGACGAGTCATCGACCACCTTGAGCCGCAACGCAGCAGAAGATGACGGCTGCGATTCCGCCTCGCTGTCGACATCGATGTCGGAACCAAAGAACGTCTCATCCTCACTCTGAACTTCAGCGGCTACTTCAGCATCCACTCCCCACCAGGCTCGAGCTAGCTGTACACAATGACTGCCGCGTGTGCTCTGCGAAGAGCTCTGGCGTCCGCAGCCATCGCAACAAGATCAAGGAACACTCGAGTCGCCACTCGACACCACTTCAACTAACTAATTACTTCAAATGAATTCAAGCAAGGAGATCAAGAAGAACTCGTCGCGCTGTTCGCAGCGCAATCAAAAAATCGTTGAACGTCACAAATCGACCTTTTTCTTGAAAAAATTACGAAACCTCTAAGAGTCGTTTTCGCTGATTGCGGCTCATATAACAACACACAGATAACTAATGCTTTCTCGAGCATCCTATATCGTGCTTGTTATGCTGGGCTTGCCGCAATCATGGTACATGTGCCGTAAAGGACCACGCCATGTCGCTTCCCAGCTGGGTTTTCGGCAGGGGGTGGGAATTAGATCAAGGCTGTCAAGTGAAGTACGATGTACAACCAAGCAGAATTGGCAAATATCGTGTACAGCAGCGCATGCGTCGGTTCAACATCGTATTTTCGTTGTATACACCGAAGTCGCTTCACAGGTAGAAAATCGACAGGGGGCAGGAATTAGAGAGGGAGCGGATCAACGGTACTTTACGGTATAACAGCAGTACAATGACATACAATGATTAAAAATAAATCCTTGTTCCCTGCCTCAAATCTGGTTTTTAGCACATTAGAGCTTGAGGTAATGTAGGTTAACACATTGCACAAGCCACCACTTCACACACGCTCCAGCGGCTTCCAAAGAGCCCGCAGATCCCACGCTATTCATTGATGCATGTCAAGTAACACGTACGTGCACGCTGTGGTGGCATGTAACATGCGTACGCCGGAACTCACCTGAACTCGCCAGCCAACCAGCCATATGCGGCTGCAGCACACATGGGAGCTTGAACCCGTAACGCATACACCATACTTCGCGCTGGCCACATTGCTACTTAATATTTGCTTTGCTTGGGTAGTGAGAAGAACACCGGTTTGTTCCTTTCTCACTCCCTTTCTCTCTTTCACCATGCCACGAGGCTCTGTACGAGGAAGCAGACGTGGACGCGGACGCGGGTTTGCCGTCGAGGTTACCCGTCGCCGCTCGGGTAGGGCTTTGACCTCGCCATACGCGCGGACCGACGGCAAGCGTACCTTCGCGCCTGATGCCTCCGACACACCGTCAGCAGCTAGTTCAGACTTCTGACCCCGCTCCAGGCACCGACGCTTCTCTGCAGGACGAGCCCTCATTGCCCTCTCCGAACATCATTTCCTCAGCCGTTATGAAGATGAACACCCTCCACCCTCTCCTCGAAAGCGTGGAACACCTGGAGAACAGTGCTAAGTCTGATCTGGAAGCCGATCTCTACCACGCGCGCGCTCCGCACCCGAAATATTGCTCCCACGCTCCGAGCGTCAAGCTCCGGACCAAACCTGCCCGGAACTTCCAGTTCTATAGGAACCTCCGACTTTGCCAGGACCTCCAGTTCTCTCAAAGTCCTCGGTTCTACCCACACCGCCACGTCGTGCGATTGAAAAAATCCAGCGCGGAGAGTTTGTGGAACTTGACAAACTCTTGCCGGAAAACTTCAGCACCCAGGGACAGGAGCCAATACAACTGGTTACAGTTGAGCTGCCGGCGACATGGCTCAGCTCTCGCTCAACCTCAGCGCAAAGCACACGTGCGCGATCAACGACTTCTGGGCTTGGCTGGACGCCTGGACGATCTACATGGGTACCGTCGTTCTTGCTCGTCCTGACCGAGCTCATGAGCTCGTCTGCTACCAGCACATACTTTGTACTGCGAACCAACAGTTCACGACGTCTGCTGTGCTGAACTATGATCGAGCATTTCGCCAACACACCGCCAGCATGGCACTGCGCTGAGACGTGATCAATCAGACGCTGTGGAGCATTTACCTACTCCGCTCTCCCCGTCCGTCATGCACCAAATCCACGCTCCAAAACAGCCGCGACCGCTGCCCACATGCCGCAGCTCAACACGCTCAGCCCTTTCCATCAGTGGCGGGCAGCACCCGCCAAGTCTGTTTTAACTTCTACCGCGGCAGGCCCTGTTCCCGCACACCCTGCGACCGTCTCTACGCCTGCAGCTCATGTGAAGACAAAGGACATGCCGCCACATCCTGCACCAGCACCACCCGCTTCAGGTGGCAGCGCCCTGCAGATAGCCATGAGAAGACTTCGAAGCCCACTGAGAAAAAGTAAGCCGACTTCCACTCCCCTGAACACTGTTCGCTTTCACACATTACTGCCTTCCTCGGAATTGTGCTGGACACGGTGCGCATGGAAGCCCGTCTCCCAGACGACAAACCGGCGGACCTCCGCGAGCTCCTCAGCGAGCTGTCACGCTGCACCCAGACCACGCAACGCAAACTCGATCACTTCCTGGGGACACTCTCCTTTGCGTCGAGCGTCGTCGTACCAGGCAGAACATTTACGCGGCGCTTATGGGATATCAACAAGAGGTTTAGCCGCGCCAAGCCCTATTTCCGTATCACTCTGACAGGCATTCCAGCAGCTGGCACCATCGGCACAGCAAGCCCCGGACACTGCAATCCGCCTCCCTCTCCCGGACTGATGCGGGAGGTCGCCGACCTGGCAGCCATGGCAATCGCCCCGACAACACGGCGCACGTACACCACTGGCGAAAGGAAATTTACGCAATTCTGTGAGTTGCAGGGATGGACGCTCATGCCGGCTACAGACGCAATGCTCAGCTGCTTCGCAGCACACCTCGGACAATCGTTTCAACCACAGACAATTCATGTCTACATGGCCGCAGTACGCAACATGCATCTCGAAGCCGGATTCCGAGATCCAACGCTGAACGCATTGCTGCTGCCACGTGTTCTGCGAGGCATCAAGAGGACGGCGACTGACCCGGCAATCCAGCGCACTCACCTCCCAATCATCATTGATTTGCTGCAGAAGCTCCTCAACCAACTCAGCCTGGACCAACGGCGTCACCAGCAGGACAAGGGCATGCTCAAGGCGGCAATGGTGCTCGCCTTCTTCGGATTTCTTCGATGCGCTGAATTCACTGCGCCTCCAGCCGGGTTTGACCCTGCACTTCATGCCACGCGTCAGGATGCGACTCTGGATGTCACTCAACGACGCGGATATATCCGCTTCCACAGCAAGCAATCGAAGACGGACCAACTCAGTCAGGGCCATGCAGATAATTGGTAGTACCACTTCACAACCTTGCCCGGTTGCCGCCCTCCTGGCATATGTTACAGTCTGTCCGTCTGACGCCGCTGACGCACTCTTCCGCTACCGCCCTGGGAGACCGCTGACCAAGCAGGCACTGACAGAAGAGCTCCGACAGCTTCTCCCACTCACGGGAACACCCAATTCGCGCGATTACGCTGGTCATTCGTTCCGCATCGGTGCCGCCACAACTGCAGCCATGGCGGGTACCCCGGACTGGCTAATCAGGGCAACGGGCCGATGGAGAAGCGACAGTGTCTTGCGCTACATCAGGACAACCGACACAGACATGGCACAGCGGACCCAAAAGCTGTCAGAGGTTCAAGCGCATCACAGAACGCATGGAGGTATGTAAGAACCCGCCACGCGGGCACGCAACTCGCACCCATGCACGTGCCCACACGGCTGACCGTTTGGAACAGCACAGCAACTTACTCTGCTAGGATTGTGCTGACAAACTGCGCGGATAGCAACAACAGTGTCATTCACGTGCATTGCAATGTGTCACAACTTAGCATGGAGGCTGGGCAACCATGGGCAAGCCATCTCCTCTCATCTGGCTATTATCACGGCCTTCGGCCATCACACTCATACTCCCACACTCCTGCCTCCTAACGGGCATTGCACTTCGTGCGTGGGCCGTCCACACTCCGTCCATTTCATGGGCGCCCATCTCATGGGCTGCACTTTGTGCGCGGTCATACATACACACTATCACACAGGTCGTCCACACTCCGCCCAGTTCATGGGTGCCCATTTCATGGGCTGCACCTCGTGTGCGTGGGCCGTCCACACTCCGTCCATTTCATGGGCGCCCATCTCATGGGTTGCACTTTGTGCGGGGACATACATACACACTATCATACAGGCCGTCTACACTCCGCCCAGTTCATGGGTGCCCATTTCATGGGCTGCACCTCATGGGTGGACTATCCTACATGATTATCACATGCATGATTCGGTTGCCCAGCACTCCATGAATCCTCCATATGATGTGTGCTCTCCACTGGTCTGCAATAGCGAGTGCATGGGTGTTAATGGACCAAATGCGGAATGTCATACACCTTTGAAACTGTTTTTTTCCTTCCATTTCGCATGCTTTATACAGCGGTGAAATGTAATGTACAAACAATTGCTAATGGTATGACCGACAGGAAGGTAATTCAATTCCAGGAAACTGTCACCTATTCTTGCCTTCACAATCTAGCTGTGGTGGGTGTAGCCACGCAAAGTTGCATGGCTGACAGAAATCTGTCTTCCGTGCCGCCACGCTGTGCCAGTAAGTTCTGTTCGATGTGCATGTATTGTCTTGAACTTTGACAGAAGTCACAAAATGCGACATGAAACACAAAATAAACAGCACACCAAAATTTTGACTCACATCAGAAGCCAATTCTGGTCCGCTCATACCGGACCACTTTTGGAATCTACCCATCAGGTCTTTACTGCAGTAGCAGAGTGGTGATGATCACTTACAATCCTTGCATAATGCTTGTGGTATGTTGGAGTCATTCAGTCACCGTTACCGAAATTCCACTTTGGTGTTTGATTTGTTCAACCTCTCTTTTTCTCTTTTCACACACATTAATTTGTAGTTCATCACATTTAAACACTGTGTGTATTAGCAACTCTCTGGGACAGCTATTTGTCATTACGTGGGCCACTGTAACCGCATTGCCAATGCAGGTCATTCCTTCTATGGCCCTGCATTTACATGCTGAATTCACGGGTCACGGTTGACATTTTGACAGTGCATGGATAGTGAAAGAATTCTCAAAACCTGTCCTCACAAGACCGGGTGCAATGATGGTCTGTGCCATTTTATGTCTCCTTGCCAACCAAAACCACAGCAGCTCAAGTACGGAATGATGTGTTGCAAAAATGACCAGCAGAGATGATAAGTATTTGAAACCACTTGTAAATTCTTGTAACATGAAAACTAAAAGGCGACGAGGAGACAATAACTTTATTAATGCGATTAATAGTATTTGTGAAGCGGACATTACAAAATGATGAATGAGAATACATGTATCTAAAATTAGGGCCGAAACGATTGCCCATTTTGCCATAACGATTAACCAATAACACTAACGATCGATTTATTGGTTTTACCGATTTCCCTAACAAGTTTTATACGTGTCATGTTGGACATCAGTATACAGCAAAAACAATTAAGTTCGTTCAACTATATATAGGTACGTATGGGTGAAAGATCCACACAGGCCCAAAAAAGACCAAAATGAAATTTGCAACGTGATATGAGAAGTGTTTCTCTGCCATTAAACATCAGCTATCAGTCGTCTGTCTTCTACAATGGAGAAGGGTCGACTGGAATCGACAATCCAGTCGATGATTGACTCCGTCAACATGCCTGGGCGCCTGCTGTCGCACGTTCGCAAGTAACCTGTGCCGAAGAACGACGTGACGGGCTTCATTCCAGCACTGTTCGTCGCATTGTCACTGCGCTCAACATTGCTGGTAGTCGCCGTTGCTGTCGACTGGGTTGCCGATCCTTTCCCTACCGCAGCGGCGTACTGGTCTTTATGAGCAGAAATCAGGTGCTGGAACAAGTTGGTTGTGCCGCTTTGACGGACGAGCTCGCGGCTGCACGAATTGTATTTCGCTACGCTATCAGCTTCCTCGAAATATGCCCAAGCTGGCGATCTCTTGGTCAGATTAACTTTCGCTTTTCCAGGCGGCAGCATTGTCACTGCTCTCCTCACCAACAATCAAAAACTAACTAAGTTTTTGACAAGAACTGAACAAACTAGAAGGCCGGCAGCCACACTCACAGTTTCGCTACAACCTAATAGTAATGAAGCTTTCCGGTTGTTACATTTTCCGGCTACGCTGACTACTAGTAGTGCAGTGAATGTCGTAACTATGTACGACTACGATTCGAGTACGAGTACCCAAAAAGAAAAAGGATCAAGCGTGCAATGATTGTACGGACCTACGGCTTCATGCACGTGTACTTCGACGTTCATGTACTTGTGCGCATGACGCGCGTGCATGCCATGCATGGACTGCATGTACTGACGTCATGACCGCTCTCGCACTGTACAGTCATAATCGTTATCGATCATAACGATTATCGATTTCATCCATAACGAGTGATATACGAGTAATCGGTATAATCGTTTCGGCCCTATCTAAAATGGTTGTTCCTAATCGATTTTCTTGAGACTATCATCAGGGAAAATCGTCTCACAATAGAGGCTATACGGAGAAACAAACTACTTATAGGTTATCGGATAGTGGGAAGTATACAAGGTGAGGTGTGAAAAAAAAACTAAAGTGGGAGAGAAGACGAAAGAAATTAGAAGAAAAGATGTGAGAGTGTTCTGACGGTGTGAGCTACTTCATAAGGTGAGTGAAATGAAGGCGTGGAAGCAGGTGAATGTGATAGAGTGAGGAACTGTGAGGTGTAGGTGTATGCGAATGAATACGTGTGTGAATGCTAGGTGAAGAGTCTCAGTTTTGTGACATTTTCTAGCATTTTAGCGTTCACACACGTATTCATTCGCATACACCTACACCTCACAGTTCCTCACTCTATCACATTCACCTGCTTCCACGCCTTCATTTCACTCACCTTATGAAGTAGCTCACACCGTCAGAACACTCTCACATCTTTTCTTCTAATTTCTTTCGTCTTCTCTCCCACTTTAGTTTTTTTCACACCTCACCTTGTATACTTCCCACTATCCGATAACCTATAAGTAGTTTGTTTCTCCGTATAGCCTCTATTGTGAGACGATTTTCCCTGATGATAGTCTCAAGAAAATCGATTAGGAACAACCATTTTAGATACTTGGTCCGCGTCAGCGATATTGTCGCTTATCTTTCAGCTTTGTTTATATGACGCCAATGCTTACTTGGCAGCCCATTTCATCCCAATTTTGGTTAGCAAGTTAGTTTGCTAGTACCTGAAAGGTCTAGCTAGAGTTCGAGTGGATTTCGAGAGCGACAGGTGGGTGATTCTGATTGATACAGCGCCGCATCAAAATAGATTATCCGGTTACGCTGTGCAGACAAGAGCAGCGCAAGCCACAAGAAAGTAATCGGCTACTCGGAATCAGCTCCATTTTGCTGAACGGCCGAGATCACTCACCTCAGGGATCGCTCATCAAGCTGAGATCGCAGCTCCCTTACCTCCAGCTCCTCGCTCGGAGTATCCAGCGCGTCGTGGAGATTTGCAAGTACATGTACTGTACGCGTCGTCGTCGTTCAAAATAAAATCTTGCAAAGAACGGCGTCTGATTTGAACCACACAGGCTGTCGTGCTGCCCAGGCGAAGTCCCATAGAGAAGGCGACCGTCACGATCGACTTCTCTTTAGAAAATATCCAGGCAGCGGAGAGGAAGAGAGATGAGCTTGCAAAAGCAAGAGAGTCGATCCCAAGCAAAAATATTTGTCGCCAGCGGCGAGAGCAGCGACAAGGAGGACCGAAAAAAGTAGGAACCCTTCTTTGGACAATAAATTCCTCGCAGCTAGTTGTCATTCTATACCTTACCGTCCATCGTACCAAGTTTTATCACTTCAGGTGCACGCGTTCATGTCCAAAGTCTAAGTTCAAATTGTCGAAAGATAAGCGACAATATTGCTGACGCGGACCAAGTACATGTATTCTCATTCATCATTTTGTAATGTCCGCTTCACTAATATTATTAATCGCATTAATAAAAACATGAAAATTGTTGGCACAAGTCATGCGATCGCGTCGGCTAACTAAACCAGACTTTTAAGAGTCAGACGTGCACAACTTAGGGACAAACGTGACTAGGAGTACTGAGACATTCCGCGGCATGAAGAGCATGACTCGTGCCCACGATTTCCTTGTTATAACTTTCTTTCCTTGGCTCACAATCTGAGTACTTGTATGTTGATATCTGTTTCTATATGTGATTCTACCCAGTCAATGCACCACTGACTGGGTACACCTACTGTCCTCACGTTGGCGCAGTCCTGAAACGGACGCACAGTTCTAAGCGTTTCAATTTTACAGATGGACATGACATATGCAGGGTACACAATGGCATATTACTAAGTGCGAACGCGTACAAGTCGGGATGCACATCAACATTGCTCGGTGATACCCGCTTTGCCTGGATCAACCAGTTTGAAGATGGAAAAAACGATGAGATTGCATTTGCGACCGGAACACTCGCCGACCCTACTTCCACCCGTTTCGTGAATGCCTCAATATACGTCGCTTGCGAAATACGTAAGGGAAGCCCAGTGCCAATTATTTTTATCATTATATATAATTATATATGAGGATTAAAGTGACTGCCATTATAATGGTAGGCTATAAGGAGAATATGGGAAATAAAGGATGGGCTGATGGGTCCAATACATAATGGTTTTGCTTCAAGCTGCACTGCAACCTGCAGGGTCAAACTGTGCTGTACGCAGAGTCTAAAGTTTTTTTTGCCGGGAAAGGCTCTTTTCACTTGTTCTTGTGCCATCAAGGGATTTTCAGAGAAATCCAGGGATTCTGCAAGTCTTGTCAAGGGATTGAGATTTTGGTGGTTGGTCAGTATGATACTCGGTTACTCAATGCAGGTTATACAAACATACCAGAGAACAGCGCCACAACATTTTGCGCTACAACATTCGAATTACCGCAAAATTGTCACAAGTGCAGAGAACGAGTCCAAAACAAAAGTAGGAACAGACTGTCCCGAAGTTATTTTGGCAACCGAAATGTTCTACTTACTGACATGACGACGGAACACGAATTTTAGGAGTACACGCGCACGAATTTTTGTACATCATTGTACACCGGTGTTGAGTAAGCGTAAGTACATCTCTAGCACTACTCCCTACGCTGCAGACTACAGTGCATTGTCGACTGAACAAAAAGAAGCTATAATCACTTGCAACTCCAAATGACAACGTTTCTTCTTGAACAATTTGTTCCTACGCCTTGCATTACGCTGTCAACCAACAGCGCGTTCTTATATGCTTGTTCACTGCAGCTGAGCTAGCTTTGGTTTCATATACCCCCTGACAAAGCCCCAAGTGCTCCTGACAAAGCCCCGAGTGCAGGAAGTAATCAAGACTTCCTAAAAAAAAGATTAAACTCTTTGACTCTTTTCAAGTTAAGACGTTTTTTTGCTGCTTGTCCTTTTTGTAATAGCTTGTCAACCTGCCGCTGGTGAACGTGTTGGTAACATATCAGAGAGTGGTCGTGTATCATGTGATCCTGGTTTCGAGTATGCCCCAGCACAACGGCCGTGTGACGAGGACTCCGCTGTAGT